TAGATTCATTCAGATCACTGATCATTAAAGTACAAGTTGTCATATAATTTTTATTTAGAAGCTATTTTTGGAGTTTAGAAACCGAGAAAAGAATTGTTGTACTAACTTGCCAGGATTGGAGGAAAGCGTTGATGATCATATAGGCCATCTCTAGATGGGCATCGTCTCGAGGATTGATACAGAACAAAAGATGGGTGATGCCAAGTAGAGGGAACAAAAGGGCTGTGGCCTTGATGGCCTTCCTGTTCGAAATAATTAAGCAGTAATTGATTTGGCGGTGGCCTAATACACAAATACTAGTGAATTATATCCACCAAATATTTAAAACTTGTTTTTATATTTATATGGTTAAAAATTGATGAATTTAATAGGTATTAATTTTAACTTACAGATGTACTGATTGATCTAAGTCAGTGATTCTCAACCAGGGGTAAATTTACCCTTTGGGGGTAAAAAATTACATGGCAGGGGGTTTAGTAGCAATGAAGATAAAGGCCAGGAACCGATTGAAAGCCGATGACGATATGAGAGTAGCATTGTCATCAACAGCTCCTCGCATAAACAATCTGATTGACTCAATAAATCAGCAGTGTTCCCACTGATAATGTTTCTGGTGTTTCTGTTTGGTTTTATTTTTTGTGATAAAAATGGACTGTATAATTTGTTCTTTAGAAAAGAATGTTTTATTTTCTTTATTTTTGGTGATACGAATGTATATTGTTATTTTTGTGTAAAACCTGAATAATATTTTTTTTTTCTGACCTTGTTTCTCTGTCCCTTTATAATGGCTATGAATTTTTTGTATGGAAGTAAGGGGTAAATGGAGAAATACATCAAGCCGAGGGTGTTAATGATGGAGGAAAAGTTGAGAATCCCTGATCTAAGTAGTTTAAATAATCAGGTAACAATAAAGATATATTATTTTTTGTATATCCTATCGAATTAGAAACAGTAAGTGCTACAATATGTGATTTTCAAACAATTTTTCTACATTTACACATAAAATTAACCATAAACTTAACAGTTGACCCATCGGAGAACATATTATTTTAGTTAACAAATAAAATATAACAGATAATAGCCTGTTTCTTTCGTGTGTGTGTGTGTGCATTGTCTTATTTTGCTGTTATATTAGAAATACATATTTAATTGTTTGTTTGATTGTTGTTAAACACAAAGCTATGCCCCCAAGTGGCACAGCGGTATGTATTCAGATTTAGTTATTACCTCACTTGAGCTATCTCTATAGATGCACTCATCTTTAGTTTCGTAACCAAGATACGAACAATGTTCACAAGGAAGAAGGTGTTGATCTGAAAAGATAAAAAAAAAAAACTAAATGAAATATGATGTTTCTATTTCATGGTAATTCTTCAACTTAGGTATATTAACAATTGTATTTTTTGTCCGAATTAATATGATGAAATCACTGGTTATTTAATCGACTGACTGAGTTGACAACGCTCAATGATTTAACATGCAAGTTATCTGATTACAGTTTTGTTGTTAGAGTATACTAAATAGTGATGGATTTCAAGTTGATAAAAAATTCTGCAATTCTATCTGGTAAAAAGACAGGTAATGTATAAGAGTACGATAAAAAAGTTTAAGTTTTTAAGACAATCTAAACAACACGGTTAGGAGATTTTGAAACAAAGGTATTACCTCTAGATTAAATTTGCCACAAAACTTCAAATTGATATTACAAACACCGAAGCTGAATTAATTTAGGATATTTGCGTTAATATGTTAATAAACATGCATAATTTATTATTATTATTGTTATATACTTTAAAAACCAGGTGTACTACGTCTTTGAAATGCAGTTCTTTGGCATCATATTTTTTGAAAGTGGCTCTGCTATAAATATTCAGTAAAAAGTATCGGTTTTAATGCCTTCCAAAATTAGGTAATAGTATGCTATTATTCATAGTAATGAAATATTATATGTAAATCTAAATAAGAGGTTCCTTTCATCGATCAAACCGTTTAATATATTCCTGTATATACCTAACTATGTGATTACTTACCACAAGAGCTAATAGCATCGGCCCAGATATAAGCCATATATTATTTGACTTGCCGTAACCTTGCCAACAGAAAGTATCCTGAACCTGTGAAGTTATTGTTGTCCAAGATGTAATGAAGATAGTCGGCAATCCTGAACAGAGATATTAGCGTGAGGAAGAAGTAAAGTATCAATGTCAAACAATATTACCACTTTTGGATCAATTTTATAAGTAAAATGATAAAAGAATTGAAATTGGAGGTTTACCATTTAATAGTAATTAAACTTTTAGTAATTATTTTTTGTGGTTTTTTTTTCGCTTATCTGTTTGACGGTCATGGCGCTCGAATCGCAATCTGAGGGTTGTGGGTTCGAATCCCGTCATCGAACATGATCGCCCTTTCAGCCATGGGGCGTTATAATGTGACAGTCAATTCAGCTATTCGTTGGTAAAAAAGTAGCCCAAGGGTTGGCGGTGGGTGGTGTTGACTAGTTGATTTCCCTCTAGTTTATCACTGCTAAGTTATGGACGGCTATCGCAGATAGCCCTCGTGTAGCTTTGCAGGAAATTTAAACCAAACCAAATCACTTATCTGTTAAACTTCTGTAGATTTTGACGATAACTGTAAATGCAATTGTTTTAATATGTTGTCAGTTTCTTGTTTACTTTGACACAAAACTGTAGGCATTGTTTTATGCGTCTTTTAGCCTCCGTTCGTAGTTGAATACTAATTTTTAACCTGCTTTAGAAGACGTACAAATAGAATTTGGAATTTTCAAAACGGCATTATGCGCAGATTGGTCGAGTGACTAGGTCAATAACCCTTAGGATTCAGATACAGCCAACCCACAATTGTTAGCTGTTGACCAGAGGAAAGGTAGTAAACCAGCAGTGACCGCCACCACAAGGAGTTTGTAAGGTTCCCTGAACACCAAATAATGGAATTGACTGTAACAACTGAAAACGTGGAGCGTTTTCAGCGGCATTATGTCGCGATTCCCAAACTCTTCAAACCATAGGTCGAAATGTTAATCACTAGGTCACAACTGGCCCACGAGAATTAATATATACCGTTTACCAAAAGACTTCAACAAGATAAAACGAACCGAATTTTTAAATGCACATGTTAAACGTTGATGGCCATTCTCCAAGATGTAATTTGGCATTGTTACAACTCTAACATAAATGTAAAGTGTACAGACGCTCAAAGATGGAAATTCCATTTAATGATGAAAGAATGAATCTTTAAACTGAACAAACAAAATATTTACAGATGTAAACATCAAGACCTAATATAACTGCTATAACTACAACCACACATGTGTGTATTTTTTGGTTGTTACTTACAACAATCTTAACGACATTTCTACAAATATCTTTATAAAGAAAATTTCAAACATACAACTTATTGCGATTACACAATATATCTTGTTTGACTATTCCTCATTGAAACATTAAATTTCCCTGTCAGTGTTATCAGAATGATACAAATGAAACATTTACAATGTCGTATATTGTTTGTTTGTTTTGAATTTCGCGCAAAGCTACACGAGTGCTATCTGCGCTAGCCGTCCCTAATTTAGCAGTGTAAGACTAGAGGGAAGGCAGCTAGTCATCACCACTCACCGCCAACTCTTGGGCTACTCTTTTACCGTCACATTATAACGCCCCCACGGCTGAAAGGGCGAGCAGGTTTGGTGTGACGGAGATTCGAACCCGCGACCCTCAGATTGCGAGTCGAGCGCCCTAACCACCTGGCCATGCCGGGCCCAATGTCGTATATGTAAGTGCAAGAACACATATATTCCAAGAAACGTAACAAAATGATTAACGAGATGTTTTGTTTTCAGAAACAGCTTAAGCAGTAAAATGAAATAATGTTCAAACAAAGTTAAGAAATTTCTACTCTTTGCTTCATTAGACTTTGTGTAAATATCTCAGACCTCTAATGGCTACCACTTTTGAGACCACTCTTTACAGCTTATTCCCATAAGTACTTTATACACTACTTAATACTTTGTAAATATATATATATATATATAGATATATATATATATATATATAAGTTTTAACCCATTTAAGAGAGAAAACTACCTTATAACGTTGCAAACCTGGATTGTATTATTACGAGTTTGTTTGTTTGCTTTAGAAAGGTATGCCAGGATTTGTTTGTTTGTGGTAAAGCGCAAGGCAACACGGTGTGTTATCTGTGCTGTACCCACCACGAGTATCGAAACCCGGTTCTTAACAGTGTGAGCCCCAGATTTACCGATACTCAAGGTCTATCTGCGCTTAGCTGGCCTAATCTTAAATTGATGGACTAGAGATAGAGGGCAGCTAGTCAATAGCACCCACCGTTACATCTTGGAACACTCTTGTCACAACAACTAATAAGATTTGACCGTCGTTCTTATAGCACATTCAAGGCCCTCAAAATGCGGACCGACCACTCGAATTCACAGTCCGGACATGCTAATCACTAAGGCCAAATTTGGTTCATATTATGAGAATAAGTTTGAAACTAGAGTCCTTCCCCAGCTGGATCGGATTGAAGATTTATTATCCAACAATAAATCTGGCGGTACATTCGGGATAATTACCAACATCTAATCACTGTTCGATGACGAGGAACCCACTTTGAGACTAATAATGGCTGGAGACGGCTTGAATGGGT